CGAAGACTTAACACTTGTGTAACTGCTGAGATCCTGGAACTCTTCTGTCCGTGTTATCTTCATGATTTGTGCACCAAGCACAAGTTAACCTCTTTAGAAAAGCCAGGTACCACTTTAACAGGGTACTTCCAAGTTGTTAGTGTTTATTTCCACGTGGAGAGGTCATATAGGCTACATACACATTGGGCTGAAAACAAGTATATGTTGATTTGCCTTTCCTTGCAGAACTGTGCATGTCTTGCTTTATTTCTTGAAGGATTCATTGAATTCTTAGTTCTGCCATCTCAAAATAAGTGAAGATAAATATTTTGCATGATTACCTTAGTTTACGTTAATAGAATCAACAATTTTATTGTTTTTACCATGTAATCTCATATTTTATTAATTTCTGTAGGAAGCTGCTTGATGCTACGCCAATTCTGACTGACCAGAAACCATCAGTCTCTAAGTCTGGACGAAAAATTAAAGGAAGAGGCACAATAGTACGTGACAATTTCTTTCCTCTCACCCAGAGTATCTTCTCTGACCTTGAGCTTTGAATTTCTTCGGAGGCTTTGTGTGACATTTGAACTATTGTTGACATGTCGATTCTAGCTTAAAAGGTTGAAATATTTTTGTCAGGTGGTTGATTTTATACCACTTTTTTTTTTTTTTCCATCCTTCGTGTTACCATCTTTTTATTTGAAGATTTTTTTTTGGAAAATAAATGCTTATTTCTCAGCTACGAGAAGTCTTCAAACATAAGAATAAAATTATTTCTTTTTAAAAATTGAGATTAATTCCTCCCAACATGAGCCACATGGTCTAAAGTAACGAGAATTGACGAGTTTTTATTCTTCTCCCCTCACTGGATTGCCTTTCTGTTTGTTCAGCATTGGGACTATAACACCTAACAGCAGACAAAACTGTTCTGCAGTGTCTGAAATATATATGGTCCTTTCTGATGTATATCACTTGTCCTCCCTAGTTCAGATATTTGCATCTTCTGATGGTTGTGCGTATGTTGCTGAGAACCAACGGTTTTATTGGTAACTTTGATAGAATCACTGACATTTTGTTCTGATTTTTGACCTTTTTTTTTTTTTAAAGTGAACCTTTTGTTTCTTTTTTTAGCTACTTAATGTAGTTTGTCACATTTTTTTGGATGAGATCAAGTCTGTGGAATTTCATAGATGAAACTGCATGGGCAAGAAGTTACTTCTTTGCAGTGCTGGTAGTGAAACAATTTTACAGATGTGCAGACTCAGTCCTTTTTTTCCTGCTTTCCTCTCTGAAGATTATCACTGTTTATGCACATTTCATTTCTACTTAAAGTCTTTGATATCCTGGAAACTTTGATTTTTGCCTTAGTTCTGCTGTGCTCAACCAAAAGTTCATAGAGTCATAGAATGGTTTGGGTTGAAAGGGACCTTCAAGATCATCCAGTTCCAACCCCCCTGCCATCAGCAGGGACACCTTCCACTAGACCAGGTTGCTCAAAGCCTCATCCACCCTGGCCTTCAACACTTCCAGGGAGGGGGCATCCACAGCTTCCTTGGGGAACCTGTTCCAGTGTCTGACCACCCTCACAGTGAAGAACTTCTTCCTAATATCTCATCTAAACCTGCCCTCTTTCAGTTTAAACCCATTTCCCCTTGTTTTGTCATTAACTGCCCTTATGAAAAGTCCTTCCCCAGCTTTCTCGTAGGCCCCCTTCAAGAAAGTTTTCACATCTCTTCTCTAATAACCCACAATACAGAGCCCAAAACACTGCACAGCTACACTGTTGTTTTTCAGTCAGTAGAAGTGGAAGAAAGTAGGAAAAACTTTTGTAATTGTGCACATAATTCTGGTGTATTTCAAATAGTAGTGTACCATGACTGAGCATATTCTTCCCCTTTAGAATGTTTCCCTGGATTAATTTAGCAGATGGCATTTGGGTAACCATAAACCAAACCAAGGCTTGGTCCTGACAGTTTTCTTTGCAAGTGAAAGTCCTAAAATAAATAAATAAATAAAGGGATCAATGTCTGTATAACTGAAGACACTTTTCATTAGAATGGTCTTAACTGAAACTACTCTGAGCATTATTTTCTTCTATGATAGCCACTAGATTTGAGAAGCACTTTTCTGCTCATCCACAAAATTAATGACTTAACCATAGTGTGGATCAAGGTATTGTGGTGTTTGAACCTCACCTTTGAGGCAGTTGAGATTGGATGTGAGGAAGAATTTCTTTGCTGAAAGGGTTCTGAGGCATTGGAAGGGGTTGCCCAGGGCAGTGGTGGAGTCCCCATCCCTGGAGGGACTGAAGAGTCGTGTAGACACAGTGCTGAGGGACGTGGGTTAGTCGGGGACTTGTCAGTGTTGGGTTCATGGTTGGACTTGATGATCTTGAAGGGCTTTTCCAATCTGAGCAATTCTATGACTCTGACATTAAATTTGATAACTGTCTTTGCTGTATCTGACAGCTCTTATTGTATCTGGCACTGTACTTGTGATACCCACTAAAGGAAGCTGTTTAAATTGTGTGTTTCCAAATATTTATGTAAACAAAGCCCTTTGGAAAAATAAATTAGTGCTGAGTGGAATTGACTTTTGCCAGGATTGGGGTGTCTGTGTCTTATTTTTTTGTAATTTTGTCACCCTCTTGGCAAAATTAAGAATGAAAACCAGTAATATCAGAAATAGTTTAGGGCTAGCAATTAGTTTCAGAAACACAGGTTTCTGCCATTTCTAGTAGTCTGATTTGCAGCCTTTTCCATCCAATATGAACTTCTTTGATGTCTTTCAAAATACTTGTTTGTAGTTTTGAATCCTCTGAAGTTCTGAGAAACTCCTGAGTGTGATATGAGAGAACTAGGGAGTTCTGTGAAACCTTTGCAACCTATTATATGCCATTCATCTGTAAGAGGGTTTTTTCTTTAAGTAGTCATTACTTCAGCTCAAAAGATGGGGAAGCTCCAGATCTTCATGGCAAGTTATCTTATTTATAGTTATAGTTATATAATTTTTATATATATAT